TAAATATTGCACCACTTTTCTCTCCTTGTAATTTTTGAAATGGATGTACCTTCAAGAGGTCTTCCAAAAATTTTAACAATACATTAGCATATTGAAATTAATGATATTCATTAGACATGCTTGAGTTGTGAGTATGGTTCCCAATTGCTTCAAACGCAACTCTACTGCGACCCACATGGCATCCTGGGGTGTTCTCTTCGCAACTTTGCAGAGAAAAGGCTCTATCTCATCCATATAGATGCAATGTTTAGTGCAGGCTCGCATTCCATTCCTTTTTCCGCAGTGCATTCCTTTTTAAACAGGTAGTGACAACAAGCGACCGGTACTTGAAACCTCCGTTCGGTTACGGTTCGGCTGCTGCTTGTGGCGAATATTCCTTTCACTCTCACTGACTTCCTCAAGACCTCATGCGGGCATCCTCGAGTTTGAAGATTGTAGCTCCGCTCCATGTTTGTCGTCGATGAAAACGGTGCCCGCGTAATCGCCATTTTCGGCCCTCGACACCAGCTCTTTGAACTTTTTGTCTCTGCTGTGCTCCTCCCGTTGGATTGAGCAGTGGTGCTTATGCAACTTATAATGGACTGTGAGCAGTTGTTATCTGACCACTCTCTACATGGCTGTGTTTAGAAACTCCAGCGTTCTGGTCACCTTTCTCGAGCCAACCCGGGTATTGCAGTCGTTTCGCTTCTTCATGCTTTTCCTGAGATCCAAGATGTCAGAACTTGTGGGGCGGCCACAACAAAGACTACTTTTATTGGTCTTCTCTTTAGTGCACGGTAGGCCGCGGAGCGGTTGAAAATCCAAAGAAGCGCGATGCTCATCACCGGATGTCCGACCTAGCTGTGTGAGAGGTTAGGCACTCTGTTGAAGTTTAGGCGCACCATGAGATGCAGGCCGAACGGTAAGCCGTGGAATTTGGCATGGTCATTGACAAGAGGATAGAGGATTGAAAGGTCTGTCAATCTCGGAAGAAAAGCTATAAACACCTGCAGAACTTGACCTCAAATTTAGGTGCTATTTTTATGGTAAACCCTGTATGTTCAGCGTCAAAACTTGTACGACCGCCAAACTGCCTTGTCTTTTCACGAATGAAGGTTGTTTATGACGATACGGTGAAAATGAAAATCGCTACAATATCATCGACAACATAATTATCTTTCGTGGATAACTAGTTCCTAGTCAGTGCTATTTTAAGCATCACACTTTTCTAAGCAGGGCGTCTGCATACGTGGTGGGTGACTCATGCTTTTATGGCCATAATAGGAACCAGTTCAGCTACCGAGAGGGTTGCACCGTGGAGAATCCACTCCCATGGCTGAACCCTGCTTGTTTATCTTTTTTTCACTTTCTACTTCTGCTACACTTTTCGTTTTCTACACTCTGTGCTTTTTCAATGACCAGAACACGGTTGGTCCGTCACTACCCATCTGCCTACGGTCAACCTAGGGTTATCTACTCGTGTTAGCAGTAGTGAATCTGTTCTTTCAGTTCATATTAGGTCGGTCAAAAAGTATCCGCCGTTTTGCAACCTCGATTAGTCCCCTGCATTTTTTGATAGTTTTTTTCGCAACTATTCGAGCAGCTTGAGTTTCATATTCTTCTGAAGGTTCGTGGTGATTCCGAGAACATTTGTCGTTTTACCCTCCTTTTTAGGATAAGCAAAATCGTGATTTTCGATTGTTGCCACTTCATGTCTTCAAACTTGGAATAGACACGCCAGGGCCAGCTCGTAATATGGCGACTGCATTGAGAAGGAGTGCTGCTAGGAAACGCATAGCGCAAGATTAGCTCGGCAGGCTTGGGCCTGGAGAAATAAAGCTCGAAAGTGATGCGCGTAGTATAAGGAGTGCCCTCAATGTACGGGATTGTAAAAAAGAAATGAAAGAAGCTTATCACTGATACCCAACTACAGGTGTGGTATTAGAGGTTGGGTCTCTAAAGGCACCGAACTCAGCCTGGTGGACGCTGTGAGAAAGCAGGAAAAAATGTCGTCAATCTATTCACCGGAGTAACCCGTGCTGGCAGCTTTAGCAGTTGCGACGCGCGTGGAGGTGTGTGCTTGGACTCTTCCTTGCAACAGTAAGGAACAGTTTTCAAGATGGGTAATAGTGTGGGGTAAGACTATGCTTCTGCACGCTAACAGTGAAAGGGTTACCAAATATGTGGACGAAACCAAGCTGCCTTGGAACGCTGCAAACCTGGAGCGCCTCCAATAAGGATTTTCCTCAATTTTCGATGGCCTAGCTCATTTCAAAGTCCGAGAATTGACTCATTCGACGACGGCCGGGTCCTCTCGTAAAGAGTAGATTATCCTACTATATATAAGCGGCTAGCGTGTGTCTGTTGTGTGTGTGTGTGTGTTTGACCGGAAATTCATAGCTCGAGTCACAGTAACGATAGCGCAGTGGTTCTTACATATGTTATAGGGGTGGGATGGGGACACAAGTGGTACGTGATAGGAACTGATAACGACTGATAATAGCTGATAAGAGGGGCTAGAAAGCGAGCATCGCCAATTTCGTTTTGTCGTTCATATTGGTACTAGAGCGTCTATACTTACAAGTGTTATGTGGGGTGGTCCCGGGACATTGGTGGTACATGATTGGAAGCGATAGCAACTGATAAGGGCTGATAAGATGCGTAGAACGCAAAAGTCGTCGATTCCGTTACCTGGCTCGCGTTGACACCAGAGCAACCATACTTACAAGTGTTATGTGGGGTGGGACGGGGACATTGTTGGTGGGTGCCAGAAACTGATAACGATTGATAAGGGCCGATAAGGCGCGCCAGAACGCTGCAAGTCGTCGATTCCGTTACGCAGCGTTGACACTGGAGCGTTCCTACTACAAATTGTG